CCCTATAGCAAAACCCTCTCCAAAAAAAAAGAAAAAAAAAAAGGAATCTGTATACAGGAAGAAATGAGGAGAGAATCCACCAGCCATAAGCCAGGTGACTATTTGGCTTCATCTGCTGTTAGGATTTTGTTTTGTATGTGAATACAAAGCAGGATTCCCAGTTCTGCTTCTAATTTGAATTTGGTCTAGTTTTCAAGGGTGCTGAGTGGCCTAGCAGAAATAGCACCAGTTTTCCAGTCACTTTTTCATGGAAAGCATAATAATTTAACATAAACAAGTGAGGATTTCAAAGGAGCACTTTAAGCTCAATGAAAGAAGTTTTTTTTTTTTTTTTGAGAGGTTTTTGCTATAGGGCGCGTGCGCTCGCCAGACAGACAGAGAGAGACATAGAGACAGAAAGCGAGAAATCACCCCAGGGGGGATGGTCACACCGCAATCCCTTCTCCTCCATTGTCCTCTCGGGATCTTGGGCACGCATGCACACGCGCCCGTCGTGGGTTTTAAACCACAGGGTCCGGGACGCGAACCATGGTCGACTACAGTGGAGGCCAGTGACATAGTCATTACGCTAACTGCTGGTTCCCAATGAAAGAGGTTTTTTGTTTTTTGTATTTCTTAACTATTTTACTTTTTTTCCTTTTATTTATTTATTTTTACATTTTTCCACATTTACTTTACATATCAAAAAATTTTAGCTCATACTCCCATAGTTCTTGATAGTTTACAAAGAACTTTCAAAATTTCAAAATACTGAATTTTAAAGATAATGTTCAAAATATTTCTTATAATTTTGTATAATTTTATGACTCTGTAACAATAGAAGCAGTATCGTTTCAAATATATATATATTTTTTTTAGAGTGTAGACTCTCGGTATATATTAAGCAGGGACATACAATGTCTGTTCTTCATAGCATGGCTTGCTTCACTCAGCAGTAAGTCTTCCATATTCATCCACTTCCTTTCAAAAGCCAGGGTTTTGTTGTTTTTTATGGATGAATAGTATTCCATTGAGTATATGTGCCACAGTTTTTCAATGAAAGAAGTTTATGTAGAAGATGACCATTACTACTGTTAGCTTAATTGTAATACTTTGTAATTTTAGGTCAAAGATTAAGAAAGAAAAAAGTGTTTGCTTATATATTTATGGACACACAAATATATATAAAATGTTAAAAAGACTTACCCCTTGTGCATGAAGATATTCAACAGTTTTAGTTATAGTGAACAGGACAGCACTGGCCTCTCGTTCAGAGAAAAATTTCTGTCTAAGAATTTTATCCAGCAATTCACCCCCTTTCATAAGTTCTGTTACTACATACACGTATTTTCCATCATCATATACCTAAAAAATTCAACATCAAAAAGTAAAAATACTATCTGAAGCTTTATGTGTGCCCAAAACATAGTTCAACATATTAAAAAGAAATTAAAACTCATTGTATACTCAAGAAAAATTTTACTTGTCACAACCAGTGTCACTAAAATACAATTACATATAAGAAGAATATTAAAATAGGAATTGACAGCATTCAATATCAGAAAAATATCCTGTAATTTTCTTTTATGAATTATAACTCACGGCAATAAAAATAACTATAGGTATTGAATATGCAAGAGTATTGAACTTTTGCTCCTAAGGTTTGCTCCTCTTCTAGATCTCTTTTCTTTCTAGTGATGATGGCAAGGGTATTACGAGGTGAAACCAGATGGTACCTTGAAGAGGCGATTAGATCATGATTATTCTACCCTCATGAATAGATTAATCCTATCATGGATTAGTGAGGTAATGGATGAATGGGTTAGCATAGGAGTAAATTGGTTTCATGTGCCCAGATTGTTATAAAAGCAAGCTCTGTTCACTCTTCCACACAGACACTCTAATCTTCTCACTATATGCTGTCCTCTCACCATGTGATCATGCAGAAAGAAGGCCTTTGCCAGATGCCGGCTCCATGTTTTTGGACTTTCCAACCTCCAGGACCATGAGTCAAGTAAATCTTTATTCTTTATAAAGTCTCTGGTATTCATTTATAGCAACAGAAAATTGACTAAGACAACTCCTTTATTAAACTTCAGTCCTTTTTATTTTACCCTCACCATAGAATTACTGGAAGATTTTTATTAGTTCCACAGAGGTACCTGGTTCCATACACACATGCTGGGGTCTTAGACATGAAGTAACAAGGTATGCTCCCTCAAAAGTTTTTATTCTAGAAAGGAGAAACTGATATATACATAAAAGTGTGTTAGAGATACTGAAATGAAAGTCTGGGGAAAATTTTAGAGACTTTAAAATCTGAAATGAAGGTAGGAGCAAAAAATGCAAAAAAAAAAAAAAGTGACATCTTAAAGGAGTGTGCAAGGCAAAGCTAAGAGAAAGTGTTTTTTTACACTTCCCTTTAAATTTTCTTTGTTGGATTATTATAGATTATGTTAATTAAGAGCCATTTAAATTAAACACATTCACACATTAATGTGACTAAGTTAATGTTCTCCATGTAACAATGAGCAGTGATAAATCAATCTGAGGAAATTGGAGATTTGACAATATCCAGATATGGCCTTTGTGTCTGTGTGAGTACCAATATTGAGAGAAGACTTAATGCTACCAGGGAAGTTCACAGCCTTTGACAACAAAAGCCAGGAGGGACATAGTAGCAGGGTATCATGACACCCCCGGGAAAGCATACCTCACTTGTCCTAGGGGTGGTGATAGGGAGGGCTGGCTTCCTAAGGAAGCAATGTCTTAGCAAAGTATTAGATGTGTGGTAGTTAGCCAGGCAAAGAAGGCAACTGGTGCTGCCAACTGAGAGAACCAGGAATTCAAAGCCAGAGAAACATGAGAAAATACAGCATGTTCAGAAAATTGTACATATTAGTGTGGCTGGAGTACTGTGTGTGTGAGCAAGTATGAAAACTATAGGGAAGGCAGGGGCTTAAGAGGCTGGGGAGCAGGAATTGCGGGCAGGGAAATAACATAGGTAGATGGAAACATTAGATCTCTCTGGCAATAATGTGGTAGATAGCTTAGGGATTCCATGGAAAGACTGTCAATTCTGGATATTAATTAACAGTAATATTAATATTGAACATTTTGATAAATGTTCAAGCAAATGCAGATACTAGAAGCAATAATGCCAGAAATACTTTTGTTTTAAAAATGAAAGTAGAAAATTAACTATATAAACATGTATTATTTTTAAAAATGGGACTTTTACTATATACATTGTTCTCAAGTCTCCTTTTGACACTTATTATATCGAGTTCTGTCTACCACATAATATTTAAAAATATTCTAAATGTGAGATTAGCTGACTCAAATGATCCATGTTAAAATTACTTACATCCTTTAGAGTAATAATATTTGGATGTTGTCCATAACGAAGAAGAATTTCAATTTCTTCTGTTGGATCTCTCTTGCTTTTATCAATGATCTAAAAGGCAAACATTTATTACAAAATCTCTCATAAACTATACAGTTATAAGCCTTACATGTTTGTAGCAACAGACTTTAGGTATTACCGTTTGTAAATACTGCATATATATTACCATTTATTAATCATTTTACTCAACTACCTGGTTAGACAGTTTATTTAGAAAGCCAATCTTGAGATGCATGGCAAGGATGTAAATCCTAACTCATGAGTCCCATTTCCACCAGGTTTCTACAACATGTAAGTATAAGGTAATTAAGAACTTACTAAAAAAAGCTTCAAGGAAAGGTACAAAAACACAGTTAACATATCTTTTCTTCTATCCTTGAACATCTTAAATATCTGGGAACTTAATTAGCTTTTAACCTCTATTAATACAGAAAATTAGGAGCTGGATGTACAAGTAACATAATCACTTGCATCTGTTTACTGAATTAGCCTTACTCCCTTTAATAAAATGCTTCAATGGAATATCCCATTAGTTGTAAGCTACTTATAAAAACTAATCAACAGTTAAGTAGAACAGGCTTATTTTTGAAGCTAGGCAGAAAGCGATGCAGAAAAACCACACCTAGAATTAAGTTTAATTACTATAATAAATCCCTTTAAAATACTAATGTAGCCTTATGACCCTTTTATGTTAGTTGCTTCTTAAAAATATTAGGTCATCTAGATAGTCATGACATATTTTTCTATGCAAAAATGTATCATGACTTTCCTGACAACCCAATATTTAATGTTTTAAACTGATAAAATAATACTATATTTTAAAAAAGATATATTTTGCTTTCAGTTCATTCAATGGGTAGTATGAAATTGTGGGGTTTTTTTTGTATATTCAATTTTAAAACAGTTTAGTAATTAACATACGTAATAAACACTCCAGAAACCTAGGAAAGATTTTATAAACATTTTTTCTTTTTTTTGGAGAGGTTTTCTCCAGAAAGAGAGAGAGAGAGACCAAGAGACAGAAAGCGAGAAATCACCCCCCAGGGGGGATGGCCACGCCACAATCCCTTCTCCTCCGTTCTCCCCTCGGGATCTTGGGCACGCACGCCCACGTGCCCAGCATGAGTTTTAAGCCACCGGGTCTGGGACTCAAACCACGGTCGACTACATGGGAGTCCAGCGACATAGCTCCAGAAAGAGAGAGAGAGAGACCAAGAGACAGAAAGCGAGAAATCACCCCCCAGGGGGGATGGCCACGCCACAATCCCTTCTCCTCCGTTCTCCCCTCGGGATCTTGGGCACGCACGCCCACGTGCCCAGCATGAGTTTTAAGCCACCGGGTCTGGGACTCAAACCACGGTCGACTACATGGGAGTCCAGCGACATAGCCATTACACTAACTGCTGGCCCCCCACAAGATTTTATAACTTAATATGAGCCTAGTCCTTCATCTGAAATGGACTTAGTTACAAAATGATTCTAATATTTCTAGAATAAGACAAACATATAGGTGCCCAATGTAATCAACTGCAAATAATAGTGTAAAATTAAGAAAATGGGTGATTTTTTTTTTTTTGGAGAGGTTTTTGCTATAGGGCGCGTACGCTCGCCAGACAGAGAGAGACATTAGAGACA